ATCAGGACACCTGGCTGTTGCCTACCCTGTGAGCTAACAGTCATAGAGAGTTAAGGAAGCGGTGGCCCTACAGAAATCCCAGCCCTTTCCCAGCACAGCTGCTTCAGTTCAGGCTGGGGGCGCCTCTTCTCAGCTCCTTACTCCCCGCGGTGACTCCTGGCCACGCATGGCGCAGGCCACAATTCACCACCGCGCCAAGGCGCGCCCACTCTGTCTGCACAAACCACTGTGGTCTGAGCAATAGGCTCTTACTTATTCTAACTTTGAACATGCAAGCAACTGTGCGTGTGCACACTTCTTATGCACAGCTGTTCCCACAGCCGCTGTACAGTGAAAGCAAGCCCAAGAACTCTCTAACTTCCCTTTGCATGAGTCATTTCTCATGTGTCCTCAGAAATGTCAGTGCACGTTTGGTGGCATATGTGGTAGCGAATGAATGGGCAGACCATTTTTTAAATTTCCTGTGACAGTAACGTCAAGATCTTTCCCCCACAAAGGAGCACTAGGAGCACATCACGCCTTGCTCCTTGTCGGCCAGAGTGAGCTTGGAGTCTGGAGGTCAGAGCTGGCTCCTCACTCCCTCGGGAAGCCGGTCAGTAGGGGCCTTGGTCCCGCAGCTCCCTGGCTCCTCCGCCGGCAGCCCCCTCGCACGCCTTAGCGTGCACCTGTGAGGCTGGGACGAGTTTGGGAGAAAGAATCTGAACTGAATGTATCCAATGGCTTTTAGACCAACTTGCAACTGCAGCTCTGAGAGCTGCTCTTCTCGGTGGGATGAGTTTACTTCCATGTGCGATGGCCCTACGCTCCCCGGAGTGTGAGGTGCTCTGGGTGATTTAAGTTCAGTCCAGTTCTGCAGGGGCCTGGGCTTCCTCCCCCATGGCCGCTCCCACCATCTCCTCTCCACATGCCCGCTGCCCCTGGCACCCCCAGGGCCCATGTGGCTCTTCGTGCAAACTAGAAAATCCCTTATTTCCTCAAAACATCGAGTCCCCACGCCCTGCTGCTGCTGTGCTGTAGACACACGACATGCTGCCTGTGACACATGATGTGAGGCTGTCTAACTGCATACCCTCCTCCCTAGCCATGCTCTGCGAAGTTCCAGAGCGGCTTTCCAATGGTCTTTCTCCCTCAAACGCTGGGGTGTGCTCCTGACCTTTGACACCTGGCAGAGAGGGAAGGGGTGAAATGCAGGTGCAGCCAGAGTGGCCTCCTTTTTGCAAAGTCAGGTTATTTTTGCTTCTGGAAAGTCATTACCTGCTCCAATTTGGACGCTTTCCAAGAAAGCAAAAGGGCTCAATTCTACTGGAGGCCCGCAGGGCGCTCCCGGCCAGTGTACTCCTCAGAGAAACTCCGGCGCCTTTGGCTGCCCTCTGGCTCAGACACAAGCTAGCACGGGCCTTTGGGAGTGTCACTCAGAGTGCCACATCCTCCTTGTGGAAGTAAATGAGGACTTAAATGAGATGATGTATGTAATGCTGACCTTGGAGAAGGTGTTGAATGAATAAATATTTTGGCACCATCATCTTCTTACTGAAAAAATTGGTTAAAATACTATCCAATATTTGTTAAGTTCATGGGCAAATATTTACGTTTTCAAGTTACTGCAATGAGAGCCTTTGATGGTAATTTCATTTTGAAAAATGCAAACTGGCTTTAGCTTGAATGTTAACACAATGTATTTGTGTAGCAATTTACAATGTCCAGAATCTCACAACATCACATACCCATTTCAAGACTTCTCCGAGAGGGTAAGTCACCTTTATATAAACACGAGTCTGAGACCATTAGGGGATAAGGCACTTGGCCAAGTGAAATCCACATGGTTGCACAGGGGCACAGCTCACAGGCAAGGTTGTGTTTACAGTATGTAATTCATCACAGGTACATGGTCCCTATGTAACCAAACAATGTCTGTGGTGGGCGATAGTAACCACCAGGCACTCTCACACGGAAAGCCATTGTCCTTAACCACATGGTTGGCAGGATGGCCCTCGCGAGAATGAGCGGGCCTCAGAAAGGCTCTGGGCAACTTCCCCGCAGTCTCAACACCACAGGACCCTGCGGGACCCCCACCCAAACCCACAGGACCCTGCCAGACCCCCACCCAAACCCACAGGACCCTGCCAGACCCCCACCCAAACCCACAGGACCCTGCGGGACCCCCACCCAAACCACAGGACCCTGCGGGACCCCCACCCAAACCCACAGGACCCTGCCGGACCCCCACCCAAACCCACAGGACCCTGCGGGACCCCCACCCAAACCCACAGGACCCTGCGGGACCCCCACCCAAACCCACAGGACCCTGCGGGACCCCCACCCAAACCACAGGACCCTGCGGGACCCCCACCCAAACCCACAGGACCCTGCGGGACCCCCACCCAAACCCACAGGACCCTGCGGGACCCCCACCCCCACCCACAGGACCCTGCGGGACCCCCACCCAAACCCACAGGACCCTGCGGGACCCCCACCCAAACCCACAGGACCCTGCGGGACCCCCACCCAAACCCACAGGACCCTGCCAGACCCCCACCCAAACCCACAGGACCCTGCCGGACCCCCACCCAAACCCACAGGACCCTGCCAGACCCAAACCCACAGGACCCTGCGGGACCCCCACCCAAACCCACAGGACCCTGCGGGACCCCCACCCAAACCCACAGGACCCTGCGGGACCCCCACCCAAACCCACAGGACCCTGCCAGACCCCCACCCAAACCCACAGGACCCTGCCGGACCCCCACCCAAACCCACAGGACCCTGCCAGACCCCCACCCAAACCCACAGGACCCTGCGGGACCCCCACCCCCACCCACAGGACCCTGCCGGACCCAAACCCACAGGACCCTGCGGGACCCCCACCCAAACCCACAGGACCCTGCCAGACCCCCACCCAAACCCACAGGACCCTGCCGGACCCAAACCCACAGGACCCTGCGGGACCCCCACCCAAACCCGCAGGACCCTGCCGGACCCCCACCCAAACCCACAGGACCCTGCCAGACCCAAACCCACAGGACCCTGCGGGACCCCCACCCAAACCCACAGGACCCTGCGGGACCCCCACCCAAACCCACAGGACCCTGCCGGACCCCCACCCAAACCCACAGGACCCTGCGGGACCCCCACCCAAACCCGCAGGACCCTGCGGGACCCCCACCCAAACCCACAGGACCCTGCCGGACCCCCACCCAAACCCACAGGACCCTGCGGGACCCCCACCCAAACCCACAGGACCCTGCCGGACCCCCACCCAAACCCACAGGACCCTGCGGGACCCCCACCCAAACCCACAGGACCCTGCGGGACCCCCACCCAAACCCACAGGACCCTGCGGGACCCCCACCCAAACCCACAGGACCCTGCGGGACCCCCACCCAAACCCACAGGACCCTGCCGGACCCCCACCCAAACCCACAGGACCCTGCCGGACCCCCACCCAAACCCACAGGACCCTGCGGGACCCCCACCCAAACCCACAGGACCCTGCCGGACCCCCACCCAAACCCACAGGACCCTGCCGGACCCCCACCCAAACCCACAGGACCCTGCCAGACCCCCACCCAAACCCACAGGACCCTGCCAGACCCCCACCCAAACCCACAGGACCCTGCCGGACCCCCACCCAAACCCACAGGACCCTGCCAGACCCCCACCCAAACCCACAGGACCCTGCGGGACCCCCACCCAAACCCGCAGGACCCTGCGGGACCCCCACCCAAACCCACAGGACCCTGCCGGACCCCCACCCAAACCCACAGGACCCTGCCAGACCCCCACCCAAACCCACAGGACCCTGCGGGACCCCCACCCAAACCCACAGGACCCTGCGGGACCCCCACCCAAACCCACAGGACCCTGCGGGACCCCCACCCAAACCCACAGGACCCTGCCGGACCCCCACCCAAACCCACAGGACCCTGCGGGACCCCCACCCAAACCCGCAGGACCCTGCGGGACCCCCACCCAAACCCACAGGACCCTGCCAGACCCCCACCCAAACCCACAGGACCCTGCGGGACCCCCACCCAAACCCACAGGACCCTGCCAGACCCCCACCCAAACCCGCAGGACCCTGCGGGACCCCCACCCAAACCCGCAGGAAGTGCACGCACAGTAGAGGACCTGTGCCCGGTGTAGGACCGCCTTCCCTGTGGCGAGCGCTCCCACTCTTCCTGGACGTGTGAGCACTGTCCACCACACGCCCTCCTCCCTAGACACGTGAAGCTCCACCCTGGGCGGCAGCTCTGCTCTCCAGGATGCAGCCATCGTCAGAGTGGTAGCCCAGGCCCAGTCCCGGAGGCCGCCTCCTCAGTGTGGTGATGCAGCCCCTGCGCCTCCATGAAAGATCGGCCTTCGTGGAGGAGGCCCGTGTCTGCGCGAGGCTGGTCCACGCTGCCGCGGGCCGGGGTGTAGCAGAGCTCTGCTTGTCTGTGGGGGGCCTCGGAGGCAACTCCTTGTCCGTTAGGCTCAGACTTCCCCCCACGTGCCTTCTCCCCTTGAATCACAGGCCGGGGCATCAGTTAAAACAGGCGCCGTGTGGAGTGTCTGGAGTTCAGCTGGCAAAGAGCCCTCTGCTCTGCTCTGCTCTCGGGCCCTGGCAACGCTGTCTGGTCTGAACACCCATCCGTCCATATGTACCGCTCAGCCTTGGCCTACAGTGGCATTTCCTCTAGTATCACAGACACAGGAAGAATACAAGATTAATATTCAGATTTAAAAGAATTAAAATCCCGAGGAAGAAGCTGAAACCGGGAAGGGGCTTGGCTCAGCAGAACATCTCCTTGGACACCCAGAAAACACTGTCCAGAAGACTTGTCCCCGGCCGTGGCCCCGCTCGGAGGTGAGGAGCCCGGCACCTCTACAGGCACCCAGGACGCCCTGAGACAGAGACCCCACCTCACAGAAGGCACCCGTGAAGATACAGAACGAGGACTTGGCTTCCCAGGTTCATAAATAATGGGTGGCAGGCTGACACAGGGCCACGGGAGGAGGAGCTACAGCGAGTTCTCCTGGAAGAGGATCTGGGCGTAGACAGTGCTGGTGGGAGCACCCTTGGCCGCCCGCGGGGGCTTGGTCAGCTCCAGCTCGGCGTAGGTCAGGTTCTCCTCGGCGATCCGCGGCTGAAAGACAACACAACATGGCCTTGTGCGACAGCACGGCTCCGCCACGCTCTCTCACAGGTGCGTTCTCGTTGCACACAAAGGGAGCAAGTGCACAAACACGTACAAGGACATATAAAACCTGAGCAAAGTACACACATCTCACTGTCATGCACAGACCACTGCGCCCTGCAAAGAGACATGATGATTTAATTTCAAGTCAAGGCAGAACACTGGCAAAAACTAATTAACCAGGAGGCCAAAATAAACTTTAATTCTGAAAAGTAAAAATGATATCACTAGCAGTCTCCGATCCAAAGGAAAAAAGACAGGAATAAAAATCTTAGAAATTAATAGCAAAACTAGAATGCTACTATCTAGAAATTCTCTGAAATGACTTAACCCATATAAAACTAAAATTTCAGGATAGCTTAAAATAATGATAAATAAAATAATACTTGCCAGAACCTAAAAAACACAGTACTCAGAGAAAAATCAGTCTTAAGTATTTATATTAAACAATATGAATTAAATGGATGAAGCATCCAACTGAAGAAGTTAGAAAAAGAACAAAATAATTTAAATAAAAACAAAGGACCAGTAACATTAAAACCAGGCAGTGTGAATCAGAAAACAAAAAGACAGTCGAGTTAGTAGAAACATCCAAAACTTGTGCTTTGAAAACAATAAAATAAATAAACTGAAAATAGCCCTAGCTGGTTTTGGCTCAGTGGATAGAGCATTGGCCTGCGGGCTGAAGAGTCCCAGGTTTGATTCCGGTCTAGGGCACATACCAGGTTATGCGCTCGATCCCCAGTGGGGGGCGTGCAGTGGCAGCTGATTGATGATTCTCTCTCATCACTGATATTTCTATCTCTCTTCTCTCCCTTTCCCTTCCTCTCTGAAATCAATAAAAATATATTGAAAATAAATAAAAATAAACTGAAAATATATAAAAGGGAAAAAAAACAAATAAATAAAATAGAAAATAATAAAGGAAACATAATGTAAATGAAGAAAAATTTTGAAATTAAAAAACTACTTTGCTCAACTTATTGCAAAAAAATTGGAAATATGAGATAAAATGGGTAATGTCCTGAAAAATATAAATTAGAAGCATTAAGTCCAAAAAAATATGAATGTACTAACTATCATCAACAAAATAAAAGAAAGTGATAAAAGGAAGAGAGCATAAAGGAGAGGAAAGGAGAAAGAAAACGTATTGTCAAAAGCTCTCTCACAAACAGGCAGTTCTATATGAGAATTTCTAAGAAAAAACTTTCTTTAGGGAACAGATAATTCCAATATAATTAAAATTATCCAGTACATAAAAAATAAAAATTTGCATATTTTAGAACAATTTCATTTATTAATATAAATTTTAAATCAAATTTACTCAGTAAAAATGAAGAAGTATATTAAAAGTTGGATAATCATGTTAAGTTGATTTTCTTTCAGGAATGCAAAGAGAAATCTATTACTATAATTCATAATAGTAATAGATGAAAAACCATTTTGTTATCTTTATAGATACTGAAAATTCATCTAATAAATTTTAAAAACCTTTTCAAAATTTTTGAATAAAATAGACATAAATATGTATATATTTACCATGTTTAAGGAATATCATTGAAATAAATACATGGTTATCCAATTCCAATAATTTTAGAAATATAAACTGCAATCATTAAAATACTGCGGTGCTGGCAAGTGAATAGACAAATGGGACTGACAAGAAAATCCAGAAATTACCCAAATATTATTTTTCAGTAAATGGTGGCAGTATACTTGGGTAGCCATTTGAAAATGCATTATATCCCTGTACCAGTCTTTATACCAGAAAAGTTCCAGATGAATTTAACATTTTATGCGGAAAATAAACTCATAAAAGTGCTAGAAGAATGTGTGAACAAATTAAAAATAATTTCAGCATATGAAGTGTTTTTTTTTTAAGTATGATACAAAAATTGGAAGCAATAGAGAAAAAATAAGGACATTTTCATGCTATATATGGCAAAATAGTCTCTAAATAAAGTCAAAGGCCATTTAAAAAAAAAGGAGGAAAATATGTGTAACTCCTATCAAAGGACTTTGCAATTCTACAAAGAAAAAATAACAGGCTCACAGGAGAGGAAATACACTCGACTGACAGCGAAGTGAAGCAGCCTTCCTCCTAACAAGAGAACTGGGACTTCCTATCACACTTTCACCTCAGTTCGTCTTTCAGGAGAAGAAGCTGATGGCTGCCTGAGGGAGGGAGGGAGATGGTGAAAGAGCTGAAGGGGATTAAGAAGCACAGCCTCTAGTTATAAAATAAGCACGTGACGGGATGTAACGCACAGCACAGGGGACATCTCAGTAACTCCGCGCGGGACAGATGGGCACTCAACTTTGCGCAGTGATCACATCATGAGGACTACAAACGTCAAACCATGTACACCTGAAACTGATATAGCATTGTATGTTATTGTGCTTGAATCCATTTTAAAGAAAGACTGCCACAAGAAATAGAGGGAGCAGGTCCTCTTGCACATCGCTGCTGAGGGTGTGGATTGGCGCAGCAAAACCTGAGACAGTTCAGTGAGCATCCACAGACATTCTACATGGAGCCACGCACAGCCTCGCCAAGCAATGACAGCGTGATATATATATGAGTACAGTGTGCTTTACTGTCATTGTGTGAACGTGTGAGGAAACAGACCTGCACACATGTATATGCTCAGAAAACCCTCAGAACCTGCTGGAAACACCAGAACCTGGTGCCCATCGCCCGCCCCCCCCCCCCCCCCCCCCCCCCGCCGCTCTCCTGGCCAGGGAGGCTCCCTCCACCTCCATCGCACACTTTGTTTCTTCTTCCTGAATTTTGGGGTAGGCGCATGCATTTAAACAATATGCTAATTAATTCTAATTCATAATTAGAAAAATTGGCTAATTTACAGTCCTGAAAGACACATGATTTCCCATAAGCAGCCATGGGGCTGCGTTTTGCTTTTTGGCTTTGGTTGTGCTGTGGTTTTGGTGTGATTTCTGCTCCTTTGTGCTATGTCTTGGTTACCTCACAAAAATTCTGGGCAAATGAACCATCTTTGAAGCTTCTTAAAAGCACGCCCAAAGCAGAAAGCCCCCTTTTGCTGAGTGAAACATCATAATAGGGACAGGGAGCGGGAGACAAAGAGAGACGGCAGAACTTGTGGGGCCGACTGCCGAGCCACCTCCACAGACTGGCCACGCTGACATTTCCTCGTTCAGGACATTTACAGGGATGAGAGCCCCTGTTTGTCTTCTGACACCCAAACCCTACACTGCTTCTCAGTCGGCATCTCTCACCAGCCAACAAAAAGCCTGTCCCGTCCTGCCGCCGGTTTAATTACATTTCCCATTACGATTCCATTTAGAAATGCCATGTGTCCTCAGATCAGCACTCAAAACCCAACTCATGTAAATTTTAGAGCCAAGATTTATGAAATCATATTGTCCAGGTGTTTTATTACATTACCGTGAAATCGCATTGTTTTCCAGTGTAGATTATCTGTTTATTCTTAAGTTATCCCATTATGTTTGGATATGAAAAATAACACTAGCGCCCTCCACGCAGGTCGCCAGGCTGGCGTGGCTGGTGTGTTGTATTCATACATTTTCATGATGTTCCTATAGTAAACATAATCTAATAAAGCCAAAGCACACTAAATAAATAATTGCATCTAGAAAAGCAATAAAAACAAATAAAATTAGTACTTTCATAAGTGGAAAGGTACTTCAATTACCGCCACAAGTGCCAACTCCCGCCCCCATAGTGTGTGTCGAATCATTTCCCTTATGCATATTTCTAGGTATAATAATTTGATTGAAGATATGAGGCAGCACGCAGGAGGCTCCAAATTGTGAAGTGTATACAGTTTCCAACAGAAGATGCATGATGTCAGTCCCTGGCACCCTTAAAGAGCCTCTTGTTTCTGGCATGCACCCTTGGCTGGCACAACCAACCACGTGCTAATTACCTTTCCCAGCGTGCTTCACTGGAAACGAACTCCCAAAGGCCAGGCCAGGGGGCCAGTGGAGACTCCGCACAGTGATCACCATGCTGCCCTCCTGTGCACCCAGGTTCGGGGAGGGGGGGTCAGGTGCATTGAGAAGTAGCTCAGAGAAAAGCCTCCCCCTGTCAGTACGACCAGGAAGACTCCAGGGCTGGCAGTACACCCAGGCGCAGGTGCAGACGTAAGGTAAGTAGCTGCATGGGCGGACCAGGGGAGGACCTGTTGCGGAGCCCTGCTGGTATGGCAGGTGACGACTGTAACCTTGGCAACTCGAGCGGGCCCTGGGCTTAGGCTAAGGCGTCACTCCTCGTGCCTGAGGCAAGGGGTCTCAGCAGATGGATCAAGAAGTTCCCTGGCATCTGCTGGCCCTCAGAACAACTCCCTTGGACCCCTTCCGCTCGAGGTTGCAGGAAGTGCAGTGCATGGGCCATTGGCACGCAAGCTGCAAATGGAAATGCTCTTCAACTGGCTATTTGCAAATGCTCTAAGTCCGTGGTCGGCAAATTGCGGCTTGCGAGTCACATGCGGCTCTTTGGCCCCTTGAGTGTGGCTCTTCCACAAAATACCACGGCCTAGGCGAGTCTATTTTGAAGAAGTAGCCTTAGAAGAAGTTTAAGTTTTAAACTTAAAAGTTTTAAACTGGCTCCCAAAAGAAATTTCTAAGTTTTAAACTGGCTCCCAAAAGAAATTTCAATCGTTGTACTGTTGATATTTGGCTCTGTTGACTAATGAGTTTGCCGATCATTGCTCTAGGTCCTGCTGAGACGCCAAGAAAAGTTCTGGAAGCGGGGTTTCCAGGCCTCAGGCCTGAGCCTGACTCTTGAGCCCAATGCTGCCATCTTTATTGGCCAGCAGGTGCGGGGAGGGGCAGGCAGCAGATGTGGACCAACTGCTGGACACCCAGGGGGGTTCTTTAGAAAAAGCCTGGAACTTTCTGAACCTGTGAGAAGCAGGTCATTTCCTCTTTCCCAGGACTGTTTGGCTTTA